CGAACGCCTCCTCGAGCAGCTTCAGCCCGGCCCGCGCTTGCTCCGCGGATTCGGCCTTGGCCTCCTCTGTTTCAGCCTTTCCGATGCCGACCATTGATGGGAACCACTGAGTGCAGAAGGATTCAGTCATCATCATTCATGTCGATGAATGTAGAGAATTTATAGACCGAGAAAACAGAGGTCAGAAATTGATGGAGGCATGCGAACCTTGTCGTCGATGTAGACGGCCCAGAAGCGGTGGAGGGCGCGCTCGTAGGGGTCGGCCGGCAAGATGGCCTGGCCGGAATTAGCCCAGGCCCCGTCGACGTACTCCACGATGATCATCGACTCGCAGACGGGCTTGTCGTGGTGGAGGAGGACGGGGATCTTCTTGTACACAGGGTTGGATCTGAGAAGCAGCTCGCTCTTCTCCCCGAACTTCACCTCCAAGAACTCGTACTCCACCCCCTTCAGGTTCAGGGCGACCCTCGGGCGCAGCACGTACGGGCTCGGCCACGCCCCGATCAGCCTCACTTCTCCTGCCGCCGCTGCCATTGCCTTCTTCTTCTTCTCCCTTCTTTGGTATGAGAGGCAGAAACGCCTGGGCTTCGTATATATGATAATGGGTGATGCTTGCTGGAAGCTGCTCTCCTGCTTCTTGGGCAACAAGGTAGCGATGAATTGCAATAGAAATAAAGCGTCTGCAGTGACGACGCAGAGAGTCTCCGTATTCATTGGTGGCGCAAGCGATGTCGCCATAATTGTCGGATTCATTGGCAGGGAGTCAGATCCGACATCAAATTTTGTTTCTATCGACACTGAAGAACCTTTGACTCCCTGTTTGACCAAAGGACACCTCTCTCTCTCTCTCTCTCTCTCTATATATATATATATATATATATATATATAAAATCAACCATCTATTAAGTCCATTAAAATATTGACGAATATTATAATGTCATATCAGCAACAGGAGAACAGCTGCAGCGCACGGCGCACAAGAGAGTAGGATGCGGAGCGTCCGATTCTACGTCGTCTTGTATTCACCGTTCACAGAGGGTGAGAATTGGGTTTGACTTTTCCTGTACCTCCTCGCAGGATATCACCTGTCTGATGCAACACACCTTATCCTTACGCTTGCTATTGTTATTGCATGGGATTTTATTATCATTATTCTTGTATTTTCTTTTTTTCGTGTAAAAGATGACTTTTGTATTGTCAAGTAAATCCTTTATTTAAGTTTGAAACTATGGGTCAAACTTAATATGTATAATTTGAGTCTTTCAATCCTTAAGCGTACGGAACTACATTCATAGTTCATCTCTTTTCTTATAACACATGTGAATATTTCTAATATATTTTTCTATGAGTTAATTATGTTTTCTTTACTTTTTTATAAAAGAAAAATCAATTAAGATTTCATAAATTTATCTCTGTTGAGGTGGTTTTAGATAGTTACATATGTATGGGGAAATTGGTCTTCTCATACAATTGATAGCTCGTGATATCAAGAGGGAATTTGTATTTTTCCTATGAGTTAATTATGTTTTTCTTATTTTTAAGGCTTCAAACTTAGTTACATAAAAAATTTTACGGATCTACTCACGGGTATTTATATATATATATATATATATATATATATATATATATATATATATATATATATATATATATATATATATATATATATATATATATATATATATATATATATATATATATATATATATATATATATATATATATATATATATATATATATAT